AATTCATATTGAAATTCTAACATAATGTGATGGTGTTAGGATATGTGGTCTTTGGAAGGTAATTAGGTAATGAGGGTGGAGCCTTCACGAATGGGATTAGTGCCCTTACAAATAGTCACAAATAAGTCTGCTTTCTCTGTGTGTGCAATCTGCCAAATGAGAACACAGGGGGCAGCTGGCTGTCTGCAAGCCAGGAGGTGGGTCTGCTGGTACCTTAATCTTAGACTTCCCAGCCTCTATAGCCGTGAGAAATAAAATTCTGTTGTTTAAAGCTATCCAGTCAATGTGCTACCATTTTTGTTAACTCTATGATCCCCCAGGCATTCAAAACATGAGATTGTATTTGTATTCCATAATACCTTCCAAATTTAAAATTGTGTCTTATTTCTAGTGCACACTTAGTAAAAGAATGTTCTAGAGGTGAATCAATACAAGACGTAAGCTTTCTTCCCCTTTCCTTGGTCCTCCAGCACACATCAGCCCTACTCTCAATCCTAGTCCATGGGCTTTGGTAACTTACACCTCCCCACTGTCATAGCGTCTGAGGATCACTCAGTAAGAAGAAGACATCAATTCCAAACCTTGATAACATGAAGGGAAATTTCTCTGAAAACAAGATGTATATTTTTCTTATATTCTGAAACTATATACATGTTTTCAGGTCCACACAGAAAATTTGAAAAGCCTCAACTAGGACAATGCTAAGTGCTATAAAACTGGTGTTAACCGTGCGAGCTGTCAAGCTCAAAACAGCATGAATTGTATCTTAAAGTCTGTTATCTTTTTTTTAAGGAAATAACTTTCCTTATGGGATTTAATGACACTATTGGAGGAACCATGAAAGCCCTACTGTTCTCGGTCACAGTCATTACACTTGATCTTGTAAACATTTCAGCAGCCTGCGTTCAGTCGATCGTGTCTCTCTTCTAACCGTGGTCCAACTTTCTGATACTGAGGTTTTAATCTCTGAAACATCATAACCCAAATGGATGATGTTCGAAAAACCATGCTTGAGGTCAGATGTGTTGATAAAAGTGATTTATGCAGTTTGAGGCTTCTGTGTTTCAATTTATCTTCAATTAAATCTGAACTGCCTGAAAGATATTATAGATACTATACACACAAAACCTTAACATGTACACTATGTTGCTTCCTTCAAATATGTTTAATTATTGGGTGAACTGATCCACAAAATGTATCACTGACTTTGATGACACTGAAGTCATACACACACACACACACACACATTATACACATACACACACCAGCAAGACTTTTCTCGGCATAATAGTTAATATTATTATATGTGAGCTAGTTTATTAACATAAACATGCTGTATGTCACAGAAACTATCAGAAATATAAGATGAGTGTCTGAATGTGGCAAAGTGAGTTGAAATCTTAATTACATTAAAATAAGCAAAAGAAAATAAGCAAATTAGAAAATATTTATGCACCTGGAATAGAAGAGCTGCATCTAGCCCATAAATAAGTGGGTGCAGAATCATCCAATTGAAAAAAGGATATATAAATTAAACAGCAGACTACACTTTATTCCACATATTAGTATAATTACAGAAGGCAAAATTGCAAGCAATTAGCAATGCATCGATAGTAAGGAAATATTTTAAGTCAGAAAATAATTTTGAATATACAGTGCTTCTGTATATTATTTTCTGCAAATGGAAAACAATAAATGTATATAATTGGACATATACTGCATTGTTGTGAATATTTATATTTAAAGTTAATATATTAGGCTATATGAAACTGAAGTTCTTATATCTTAATACACTTTGTGTTGTCTTGTTCTGTGTTTCAGGTTTCAAGTGACCCGGTCTCAAGGCCGGGTCAACTTAGGATCGAGTTGTTGAGAGGGGCAGTGATGTCTAGTTCAAGCTTATCTCAATCAAAGATGTTTCCAGAGTTGCAGGAAAGCAATATATGTCTGAATGTCTCCAGGTAAAGAGCTCTGATTTCTTAGCAAATAGATCATGAGAGAAGGGTTATCCAGGCAGCTCTATATTTTATTAGTTACCTTAAACACCAGTTTGCTAACTAAAGTATCAAGACTAAATGTTTCTTTAGGATTATCTCTGAGGAAGTTCATGTCAGCAACTTCAAAATCAAACAAAGAACAGTCAGGTAAGAAACCAGAAAGGAGGGAGATTGATCAAGATGGCAGAGTAAGAGTATGTGGAGCTCACCTCCCTCCACCAACACATCAGAAATACATCTACAGATGGAAAAACTCTCACTGAAAGTGAACGGGAAACTGGCAGAAGGACTCCTGTACAACCAAGGCTGTAAGGAAGATGCATAGGTAATTGGGTAGGAAAGGAAGAGAAACAATCCAGTTGGGATTGTGTCTCTGGGAGGGGACTCAGAGTTAGTTAGAGGGAGAATACAGAGGTGGACACCCTCACCGGGGAGCGAGAGGTGAGAACCACAGGTTGGGTGCCCAGTCCTGCAGTCCTGTGCAGGGAAGGCCATCGCCTTGGCTGGCTGGAGAACCGCTGGGACAGACAGAAGGGCTGAGGGAAGCATGGACTCTGATTGTGAGGAGAGCGCACACTGGCCTGCCCTGCAGGCAGGGCTGAGAGGGCAGAGAGGGGACTGCTCTAGGAGACGCTGGGTTTCCTGTGACCACCTTGACTTGTGCCCCAGCACGAGCTGAGCAAACACTCTGGCCCCACTCATTCTACATCACAGCGTGGCCCTGGATCCGGGCAACCATTAATGGGGAGAAGACTCTGCGGCAGGCTGCAGGATCCAGAGGTGACCCGGTCCCAGGGTAGAGCCTGGTGCAGCAGTGGCGGCTCCGGCTGGCACTTACTCAGGCAGCAGATCAGAAGCAGCCCAGATCTCTGAGGGCAGCTTCTCCACCACAGCCTGTACCTTGATTCCTGCTAGAGTCCACTCGGGCCCCACCTGCCCTGTGCTGTGGCGCCACACAGGGTGGGGATGGCAGAGGCCAGGGACAGGGCCCAGCTGTGAGGGACAAAGGAGACTTGCAGCACAGGCTGCATCTGAGCCAAGTGAGGGAAACGGCAGCAGGTGCACAGGCAGCACCATGAGGGCAGCTCAGACCTCTGTCTTTGGCTGACAAGACTGAGAGCCTGCACAGCCTCCGCTTGCTTCTGCACCGCCTCCCTCTGGGTAGAGTGTGTGTGTGTTTGAGTGTGTGTGTCTGTGTGTGTGTGCGTGAACTGGCAAGGATCCCAGTGCTGGGACAGGAGGAAACACACACTTAAAGGGAACAGAGCCACCTCAGGCCCAACTTTGGGCTTCTGCTTCAGCAACTTGGGATCAGCCTCCACCCCCAATAGGTGGTGACAGCCACTGAGCGGCTGAGAATTGGCAGGAAAAAGAGAAAATAGTAAGCAAAATCATACGTTTCACAAGATTGAAGAGTTCAATACACATCCAAATATTTTCTCCAGCTCATTTAAGGTTTTGTACAGAGTCTTTAAAAATAAACAAACAAAAACAACTACAGTGTTAATTTCTTATTTCCCTCAGAGATGGCTCAACTGCCCTTTTTGGAATGTTTACATTTCTCGCAGTCTATCCAGTAGCCAAAGGCATGTTTTGCTGACAAGGAGAGAGGCTCTATTGATTTAAGGAGCTCTGCATTTTCTAGTTATATCAGAAGACATTGAATTGGAAAATTTTCTTCAATAAAAAT